GGGCTGGAGGGGAGGCAGCAGCCTGAGAGCCGCCTTCCCCGCTGCCAACTGGCTGGAACTGGTGGGGCACTCCCCTCAGGCGCAGTGTTGCTAGGGGTATAATAATTATTATATTTATTATATTATAATTATTATATTTCTAAAATAATTTCAACCCATGTGCAATCAATAATAGTACAAGTGTTCAAAATGTACAATAATTTTGGAGGCAGCTAATTGATGCAGCATATGCAAAACCCAAGTCACTCTCAGAGACGGCGCTTTCTTCTGACAGCTTGCCTCAAAATAAAGAAATGCTTCAACTTTGAGGACCCAGTTATCACTCACTCACTGGAGGCTCGTACTGAACAATACAAAGTAAATAAAAAGACTTATTTGCATATTTTTTCAGTGTAGGATAGTTTTTCAGTAAATACAATAATTTTGAGCTTCCAATACGATAATTTCATATTTAAGACCTGGCAACACTGCTCAGGCAGGATGCTGTGGGCCAGCATGTGGTGGGGTCAGCACACAGGGTCACTCCATAGCCAGATCTGGCTCTGTGTCAGGCCATACACAAGACCAGGCTGGTGTGTGTGGCTGATGTGACCCATGTAGCTGGGCTGGTGCGCTGGATCAGGCCCACGCATGCACCCTATGACTAGAGGCGAGAAGTTTCTAAAGGGTTTGAACTCTCAACCTTGATGAAGTCATGACCTACTTTTAAGGTCTTAGTATGCACAGTGTATAATGGTAAGGCAACTGTTTATCAATGTTGATATGTTAATTATGATAATGTTGCTTGTTTTGAGTTGGAATAGTTTGCACTGCTTAATAACTATTCTCCAACCATTTGGGTTGGTCTAATAAAAGATATCAAATTCACCCAAGGAACCTTGTCTGCCTATATCCTTAGACCAACACGGCTACAACCTAAACCTTTGCACTGATTGGTCCTTTTAAGAATTGCCCAGGTTTGAATTTGATTGGGTATTGTGCAAAAGGCGATGATTGGACCATTGGGTGAGTGACAGGTGGTGTGATCAGAAGGCTAGAAATCCTGTCCAGAGCAGCCAGCTCGGGGCTCGGCCTCGCTCTCCCTCTGGCTGGACAGTCCTGACTCCGGGCTCTCAGGGTGCGGGAGTTCATTAAGCGCAGGATCCTTGCTGTGACCTGGTTGTTGGGACTGAACTCTCTGAGGCTGACCCATCTTGCACTCCTTTGGGCTTCAGCTGTGAAAGCTGCAGCTGGGTAAAGTATCACCCTTTCTGTATTTGAGGCACTGAGTACCTAAGCAGGGAAAAGCTAGAAATCTTCAGGGAGGGTCACAGGGTTTCTCCCATGGTGTTGCTGCCGTCTGTGGTTTTTGGGTTGTCTGTGAAGTTACATAGCAGTTAACTGTGTAGTGACCGAAGCTCATTGTAGCGTGTAGTTGATTGGTTGTGTGACCAGGGACGTTGGGTTATTGTCTTGTTGGGTGTATTTTATTGTGTTGCGGCTCAGGTGTTACAGGAATATTGTGTTGGGTAGTTGTTGTGTGGGTTTTGTTGTGTAATACAGCTTATATTGCTCAACCTACCTGTGTTGTAGTGTGTGGCTACTCTTTCTAACTCTGAGTGGGGTCGGGCAGTAGATCAATGCTCAGGGAAATTAATTTACTTTAATGCCCCTGAACATGACTACCTGTGGGTCATAAAGGATTAACGACCCTCTGGATTAATTAGTTAATGGGCATCCCCATGGGCGGTCCTTCAACCCCACCTGCAGGGTCTGGCTCGTGGACTGCCCCTGTGTCATGCCTCTGGCTCACTGGGCTAGAAGTTTTGAGCATTACTGAGTTAGTTTGTAAGGTGCAATTGCCCTGCCTTCTTGCCTGACTTCAGGCTAACGTGGCCAACTACATCTGCAAAAAGAAATGGTTGGTGCTGTCTGGATTGGCAGTTACAGTTGCTTACCTTCCTAAGATCATCGCAGCAAAAAAGTTCTCCAACTGTTTTCCATTTGGCAGAACTGCTTTGAAGAAGTTGTGTGCTGGTTCCCCAGTCAGGAGTGCAGATAGATGCCTGCAGGTGTTCCCCCTCCACCTTCTGGTTCATAAGCCACCTGGTTCCCAGTTGCAGGGAATCTGCATAACTGCTGATTTCTTCCATGTTGCGGTAGCATTGGGGTGATGTTCCTCATGCTCCAGGAAATACGAGAGGCAAGGATTTCTGGTGAACATCTTTTATTGGGCCAACTGTGTGGTTGGATAGATTTGGAGAAGCTCTCAAATGTAGGTCACCAGAAGAAGAATGCACTGCTTTCAAAAGCTTGTGTAAGTCTATCCCAACCATGCAGTTAGTCCAATAAAAGATATCGCCCACAACAATTCCTACTGACACCTTTTTGTTTTTGTGGGAATAGAATAATTAAAATGAGGCAGTAGTGTATAATAGCTTCAATTATTTTGATCATGGATGGAGGAATGTGCAGTGTAGGATTTGATCTTTTTTAAATTACTGCATAAAGGTCGTACTTAAATGAAGTTTAAGTTAACTGGTTGATATATGGCATCTGTGCTTCTTGATATTTTCTACCGAAATAAAGGTGAATGATCTTTAGGTACATTTCATGTTACAAAACATTTGTAAAATGGAATAAAGCAGAAGAAGTCTGTAGAAAAAGGTTTTGTCAAATATATTTTAATATATGAATAGAGACTTATTTAAACTTTAGCCATATCTTTAAAATTGTATCTTTTCCCATGATCTACGTTCTCTTTATCTTAGTTATAAGTCTGCTTGTCTAATCTATTCATAACTTTTTTTGTAGGGACTTAAAAAATGGCAAAGAAGCTGTTGATTGACACAGACTGTGGGACTGATGATGCTCAAGCTATAATGATAGCCCTGGCATCTCCCAGCGTTGAAGTTCTGGGGATAACTTGCTGTTATGGAAACACTCAGTTGGAAAATGTCTGCCAAAACGTACTTCGTGTGTTACAAGTTTGTAATAGGCTTGAGGTAATCAGCCCATTAAATATACGCAAATGGCATACCAGCCTTAATAACCACCAACTGGAGGGACCCCAGGCAGTTTCTCCTCTATAGAGAATTTTCTTACTGATGCATGGCCATTTCTGCATTGTGCCCTGTCTTACCATGTTGATACCTGGAACGGAGGAATCGGAGACTCTTGAAACTCTGTTTGTGTATGGACACACCTGTCATTTACAATACAGCTAACTCCTCTTTGAGTGTCTATCCACGTAAATTTTACACTCGGTATACATAATGCCTGCTGTATGAGATCAGGTTCTTTTGGCTAACTGTCTATTGAGACTGAGCCTTAGGTAATAGCTTATCCCATGCCAGCTCACATAAAGGACACAGCAGACTGACTATCCCCAAGTTCTTTCTTACCACTTGTGGCAGTGAGATGAACTTCCTTTAGTGTCGGCTTACTCTGAATGCTAGATCGATCTACTTAACTTTGGATAGAATGTAGTTTCTTATTTGGTAAGAGGAAGTATGTGTGTGTGTGTATATCTATTAGACAGATTTCAGTTATGCTAGAGAAGTGTGGTGCTCAATCTACAGCCCATGGGCTAGATCTGGCTCCCCAAAATGACTAGATCCAATCTGCAATATGGGGGGTGGGGAGAACCAGTAGCAAGTACCTTGATCCAAAGTTCCCTTCCCTCCCTCCTCTGTGCTGGTCTGGGTTACATCCATTTAGAGATCCCATTTATCTGCTTATCTATTCATTACCATATGAGGAAGGTTATGTCTGCTCATCTCTTGGTCTAGGTCCAGTTTACTGAAGAGACTGCATTTAACAGGAAACAGAATACAGTATGCTAGCTTCCCCCATGATAGCAACTGGTGACTGTCTGTCATATATATACACTAACCATATTACTATCAATATAATGCTGTTATTACTTGATCTAAACATAACCTATTCAAATGCCAAGCTGTTTAAGCTATCATGTTCTGGCCTTGTGTTACATGTTATATGTTGCTAAAATTAATCATGAGAAAAACATTATTCAAACACACACTACATATGTCCCCTTGCTCTGGCAGCAGGGAGCTCCTGGCCCTGGCTCCCTGATCAGGGGCACAGGACTTGGAAAGAGCTGCAGTGGAGGGGCAGGTCCCAGCCCCCTGCCCCGATCCTCTGGTGGAGCAGCTTTCCAAGCCCCATGCCTTGATAACCCACTCAGGGCACAGGGCTGGGACTTGCCCCTGACCGCGACAGTTCCTGGTCAGCCCTGGGCTATGTGGAGAAGTCTGCATGTGCAGTCCCCGGATCGGGACCGTCCCTAGCCACTTCCAGGCTGCACGTACTTCCCTGCCCAGCCTGAGCCTGGTTGGGAACTGTCCCAGTCAGGGGCAGGTCCCAGCAAGCTCCAGGCTGGACAGGGAACTGTTGCCATGCAGGGAGGTAGTGATTTCCCAGGCCGAGCCCCATGGTTGCAGAGCTCATGCTGAGAGATAAGGGTTTCCCAGCTCCCTGCTCCCCCATCACAATGGTATAGACAATCTCCCAGCCCCCACTCCCCAATTGCGATCTGCTGCTGGGACAAGGGGGGCATAGTCCCTGCCCTGGCTCCTGTGGCGGAGCCCAGCCCAGCAACATGCAGCTCCCGGGGGCAGGGGGCTATCTCCTGCACCCTGGTGGACTGCTGACTGGGAGCAGATTTGGCTCCCGGTCACGCATCTACACAAGTGCTACAGCACCTTTACTAATGCCAAGTAAATTTGCTACTTGCATTTTTAGGTAGAAAATTTACTTGGGATAAGGGAGATTTACTGTGAAGTAAGCCTGTGCATGTGTAGATGCACAGTCTTACTTCACAGTAAACTATGCTAATTTGCCATTGTCTTGTGTAGATGCACCCACAATGTTAGGAGATAAGCAGCTAAACTAAACAAGTACGTGCAGGCTCCAGCTCATCCCTGACTGAACCATCATCCCACATTGCCACAGCCTGGTCCCTCTGCAAGAAAGCAAGCACTATAATCTATAAATTAGTTTTTGAAATTGGGTGCCACTCAATTCACAAAAGTTATAGAGGGGTGCCTGGAGTCCAGTGAGGGTTGCCTCAAGTCCAGAAAATTTGAGAACCACTGTCTTGCAGTATGTGACATATTTATGAGGTTAATACGGTAAGTAAAACAATACTGGTACTTATTGTGATAAAGTTAAATTCAACAAAGGCAAGAAGCCATTAAGTGGTACACATCCATTATGCATTCAGTCCATGTTAGTCATTTATATATTTTTTTTTAGATTCCAGTTTATCAAGGTGCTTCTACCCCCTTACTTGGTGCTTCCGCGAAAAATGATTACTTTTATGGCATAGATGGCTTGGGTGATGTTCCTGATCCAGATGCTCCACAATTAGACTGTGTACAGAAAGAACATGGTGTGATGGCAATGCTAAGAATGGCCAGTGAGCAACCTGGTCAGGTGAGAGTATGTTCTTTATTTTTTTTTATTTTTTTTATGTAGCAACAGTACAGCAAGCTTCTTGAAATGACATGAGGAGAGTCCGGATTGCATTTTCTTGCAAAACTGAAAGGACTATGCATGTGGCTTATGATATTTGTCATATCATAGCCTACTTGTATAGCATACTTATTAAGGATAGTATATGTCATGTATAGCATACTTTTTAAGAGGGTGCTTTCTTTGTCTAATAAGAATCTTTGGTACAACTACACTTCGCTCCTCAATCTTCCTCATTTCTTTGGGATAACCAACAGTAGTTTTTCTCATGCTTCCCTTTAGCAAAAGGATGGGCAGTTATTTTCATTGAAGGGCCACTTAATGAGTTTTGGTGAGCTGTTGAGGGCTGCACACGTAAAATTAATGAAGATATTTTAACAAATTATAGATTAAAAAGAATCATATGCTAAAAATCAAGCATCTACTATAACACATTTTAATTGTATTTCAAAAACTAATTTTGTCCTGTTTTATGGTTTTTAGGGTAGTATACATAGATGCGATTGCATAATAGCTCAAAATAAAGTCTCTCTTCCAAGGGGGAACCAAAGCCAGCCAGCAGGACACTCAGCCAAAGAAGGATGCCCCCACCCCCAGCAGAGCCCTGCCACTGCCCAGCCACCCCCCTCCGAATCACAAAGGAGTTCCTCCCTCAGTCTGTACCCCAACACACCCCTCAAGAGCTGCCTACACCCCAAACCCACCTGCCTCCCACCCCTTCCCATCCACACTTGCCCCACAAAGCCTGGGGAAGCCCAGCAGCCCTTCCAGCCTGCCCTAGTTCCCTGCCAGGGCCATTCAGGCTGTGCCCACCTGTAGCCCGGGGGCCCCTCTTCTCCCAGGAGGAGCCCCAGCCCCAGGGTGCTGGAGGCAGCTTCATCTGGGCAGATGGGATGGGAGCCACGCTGACTGCAGCTGGGAGATGGCAGGTGGCTGGGCTGGCTTGCGGCACTGCATGAGTTAAGGTGGGGCTGAGCCTGGGGCTGGGACCAGGGCTTCACCTGCTGGGAGGTACCGGGGAAGCTCTGTCGCCTCTGGGCACAGGTGCAGAGCACACACCGCAGAGCACCCACCGCACAGCCCTAGCACCTGGGGCAGCTCCCGCCAGCTCTGAGCCGCAGGCAGGAGGGGCACTGCTGTCCCAGCCTGAGTGGGGGCACCAGGATCCAAGCATGGCTCGCCCAGGGCCTTCCACGTGGAGCTGGGCAGGTAGGTAGGCAGGCAGAGCTACTTCTGCCCAGCATCCCCTGCAGCACCAGGAAGGGCTGGAGCTAGCGTTGGATGGAAACAATTGGCAGGCCAGATACAACACATAGGCCATATTTTGCCTACCTCTTATTTTAGGATGTATAAAAGTATTACATCACATTAACCACAGTCTTCCATTTTTGCACCAAAATGGATGATTTTCTCAGAGGCCCTAGATAGACTAAATTTTCTCATATTCTTCCCTTTTCTTGTTTATGTTTTTTAAGGACTTCTATTTTCTCATAGATGGACCATAATTTTCATAGTTGGCAATGATAAAGGATATGTTTAGTTTTCCTTCCCAAGCCCCTATATTTTCCTTTTGTTTTGCCCCACTAAACTCCTTGCATCAAAGTAGAAATAAAATAGAAAAACACCTGAAAAACTGCTGTATCTAGGTAGCCATTTTTGAGCCAAATTAAATTTCTGTCACTCTTCTCTGACAACTGTTGGCCTGCCAGCTTACAAATTCTAATAGTCCTCTCTTTGATTAAAGTGGTCAATCTGTTGTTCCTAATTTTAAATTTAAACTTCTTAATTTTAAATTCCTTCTTTGATTTCTCACACATTTGGCCAGTATGGAAAGTCATTTGATGTTTCTTCTCCAATAGGGGCCTTTGTAATGTACAGACTTACTCTATCAATAGTATCTGTGTACAGAGCGGTGCAATCAAATTTTCCTGCTTATATTTCCTGGTACTGCAATATGACATGTAGCTCTAATTGTCATGCAGTGCTTATCAAGGTCCAGCTCTAATACATCTTGCTGGTTATTTTTGGGTATAATTTCTTGCCACTGTACAAGTCTGTCTGTATCCTTATTACTGATAAATTCCTAATTGGAATTTGATATTTTGGACATATCTTTTTCTTTTTATACACAGTATCCCTGAAAAGGTATTATTAGAGAAATACACTTGATTATGTGACTTTACAATGAACTCTTAAGTATTATCAAGACAGGTTAAAAAAAATTTTAAATGTAAATAAAATTTGTATGTACAGCTTTTAATCTCATTTAAAAATTTTATTTAGTAACACAAAAGCAAGGAGGAGCTCCACAATCATATGACTGTCCAATGAGAATATTATGTTTCCAGTCCCTAAAAGTGTATGTACCAGGACTGTCAGTAAAAGTATCTGTATCCAATTTGTGACATAGTAAAGATGAGTAAGGAGATAGGAACTGACTACTTAAGAAAAAACACTAACTTACCTGTTCATGTATTGTTTAAATAAAAACCTTGAATTATACATGTTTGAAGCCCATATAATAGGTAGAGCACAGGTACAATGTGCTTTTGACAATTCACACTACCTTGCAAATGAAAAGCATCCATTTGGGGTACTGGCTTAGATTTTCATGGATAGCCACTGTTAAGAGTTTGTTCCAATATTCTGGTGTGAAGGTGTGAAAACTTTTTTCCTTTGTTTTTGTAACCCTGGTGGCGGCGCTACCTGCAGCCATGTCCAAATTTTGGGGATCCTGGGATGCCAATAGGTCTTGGTCTACTCCCACTCTGTCTACAGGCTGGGAGCACTACTCATTGGAGTGCTCTCCTGTGGTCCTCCCCACACCAGACCACACTAAATTACTATTTACAATAATTTATTATTTACAAAAATAACTGAGAGAGTGACAATTTCAACATCCCATAAATAACAAACAAAATATTTTCAATGAGCTCAATAATAATCTATACCAGGAGAAAAAAGCAAATACTTATCATGTAACAAAAGCAATTATGTTATCAACTTTAATACTCAGGCAACTTATAACAGGTATAATTTTTTTCCAAAATGTTTTTTCCCCCAACTATTTAAGTTGGTCTAATAAAAGGTATCAGATTCACCCAAAGAACCTTGTCTGCTTATAACCGGTATAGACACTTAATCAGCCAGCTCTCCACAAAATCACTCTGCCTGCAGCAGTCGCACACTGTGCAGTGGCTGCAGTGGAGCCCCGGGGAGCAGTGCTCGCTCTGCCTCAGAAGAGGGGTGGCGATACCGTCATCTGGACAGAAGATGGGGGTGCCTGTCAGGACCTTGGGTGCGGCTGCTCTGGAGACCAGGGTTTCTTCCTTTTTCCAGTCTTTCCTGGATGCCTGCAATCAATCACACCACTCCCCAAGGCAGCTCCCCTGTGTTTGGCACCTGGAGTGCCCCTTCTCAGCTGTACTTTCTTGAGCTCTCTGCTGGAGCTCCCACAAAACCACGATTCCCTGCTACTTTCCCTAGCTCTCCCAGAGAAACTCCTTTAGCAACCCCTGTCCCCAACTCCCTCCCAGTGACTCCCTGCACCCAGGGAGCTTAAGAGTGGGGAGAGGAACCCATTTGCACAACCCCTGCTCCTTTAGTAAAGGATACCAGGCGATCCTTGGTACTCAGTAGCTGGTGGCTCCTCTGCCCTTGTCCTGGTAGCAGCCCCCTCTGAAGCAGCTCTTTGCCACACAGCTTCAGCTCCCCTCTCCCCAGCTGGTCTCCCCTGTTTTCCCTGGGCTTCCCCTGGAGGTACAGCTGTCCAGTCATGCATGCATTCTGCGTGCACAGCTGATCCTTGTCCCAAGAGTGCAAACACCCTGGTTGAGTCTGCAAGCTTGGAAGAAACCCTTCAGCACCTTTACACTTTATTTTGGATTTTATATTATTATGGCTATTTATTTAAAATAGTATCAAAAGAAACTTAGCAGAGGCTCGTTATGTTTTGTAGGTTTCCCTAGTTGCCCTTGGTCCTTTGACTAATTTAGCTTTGGCAGTGAAGTTGGATCCAGCATTTCCTAAGAAGCTTAAAAGTCTCTTTCTAATGGGAGGAAATACAGAGTGTAAGTAATTTATGGAACAGCTAGTAGGCAACATTTTTAACTAATAAGGCTAAAATGATTATTTCAGAAACAAATTTATCTTTTGTATATGATTGCCAGGTTATACAGGTGATTGTATGTTATATTAGGGACGTGAAATGAAGCTGAAATGCAAGTTGTTGTTGTCTTAATAGGTGATTTACTGTCTTTTTGCAGTCAGGAGAATAACCCTTAACTGAACCAAAGTTAAATCATTTCTGAGATAAATTTTAAAAATTAACTTTTAAACTTGCCTTTCCATGTAGTTTTAGCTCTATGAGGGTATTGTAATGCATGCTTTTCTACCAAAAGTGTTTTGATTTGGAGGGGGGGGTGTTAAAAACAAAAGGGGGGGGGGATAACAAGCAATAAGTAATATGTTCAATTATACAGAAGTGGGTGGTTATAAGTAATATGTTCAATTATACAGAAGTGGGGGGACTTCTTGTTTACTTTTGTTTTCTGCTTTTTTTTTCTTAGCCAGAGGAAACATTACGGTGTGTGGAGAGTTCAATTTTGTAACTGATCCAGAAGCTGCCTACGTCGTCTTAAATGAGTACACTTGTCCTATGTATATTGCAGCATGGGAATTTGCATTTCGCAGTTCATTGCCTTGGGTAAGACACCTAATTTTATTATGGGTTCATATTAAAGGTAGATTTGGTCATGGTTAGTCTTCTGCATTTCACCAAAGAATAAGGAACCATGTCCAGTTTGGTCTTAGAAGAACCTAAATAGGACTTAGGTGTAATTTATGCACCACAATTTCAGAGGGTAATCTAGCTGGCCCTACTCTATAAGTCCAACAATAAGAAAGAGCCTAAATTCATGCACTGTGAAGCCTATATAAGCTCCTTTGCATTCCAGGTTAGTTCTGGCAGGTGAGATGCTTGAGTTCCTGGAGGAACCAGGTCCTTAGCTGTGCTCTGACAATGCCTAGCTCATATAAGCAGCATCAAATGTAGGGTCCATTTTGGTCTGCCAAGTTCTATCGATGCCTATGCATGGGGCTTCTAAACTTGTCCAGAAGCCCAGACACCTGGTTTGATCCCTTAGGTCCCCTCTACATGTGCAGGTAAAGTTGCAATGGGATTTAATGCATAGTCATGCATCCTGCCATGCCACATGTGGGATTGTGCATTAGATCCCACTGCACCTTATTGCTGGTGCAGGGGGAGCCTGATCCTGTGTTCCCCTTGCACCAGCAAGAACTAAGCTTCAACGGCTGGGAGCCCCCTCAGTTGAGGGGCTTTCAGCCATGGGGGCACCTCACGCACCACTGAGCCTGGGGGCTTGTAGTAACTACTGGGCAAAAGGTGAGCAGAAGGCCCACAGTGAGCTTTACCCCTACCCCATCACTGCTTGACCGAGTGCCTGGATGACCCCTGCTGCTGCACCCTGTGCTCAGGTGCCCTCACCGTTGTAACACATGCAGGGTGCTTCCCCCGTGCATTTGCGCCAGGGTGTTCCCCTGCTGGACCAGATGCCCCCCTGCTATTCTCTGTTTTTCTCTGCTGCACTGTGCACCCATCCATCCCACTGCTGCTCCTTGGGCTCACACAGAAGTACAGCTCCCTGCTGTAACTTTGCAGGAAGACTTCTGAGTTGCAACGATTCCCCGGACCAAAGAGATGTTCACTGTTGGTTCCTGGAGGCAGGTGGAATTTAGCTGCTGACTGGAGCCTGCAGCCAATTTCCCCTAGCAGCAGCCCCTGCGCTCTCCCGGCCTGTCCCTGTTTTCAGAACGGGAGAAGGGAAAGGGAACAGAGGGAGCTCGTTCTAGGGGTTCCCCAGTCACTGCTGGAGGGTGAGGTGGGTGAATTGGAGCCCCCCCACCTCAGGAGCTCTCTGTGGGGTCTGAAAACCCCCCAGACTGAACTCCCTCTGCTCCCTTTTCCCACTTCCATTCTGCAGGGAGAGGCTGAGAGGCTGCACAGACAGAAATGACAGAAGACACTGTTTTGAAATGTATTCATCTCAAAGGATTGGATTTTCACCCAATCAGCCATTTTGAAGCAGTCTGCAACCGTGCACTTGTTTGGTCACAGCTATAAACCACTTTCTGCGGCCAGATCAGGCACAAATTGTCACTTCTGTCTGCATTCCTTGTGTCTCCCTGCTACACTGTGCACCCAAGCATCATGAATCACCTTTAGCTTTCTGGACATTAACTCCCACTCTGCACTGTGTCACTTGGGTACCCTGGGCTGTGGGCTTCATCAGCACTGAAGGCTGCAGCATACTGCATCCCCACATCCGCTGGAGTAGGAGCAGGGGCAGGAAGGGGAGGCCAGAGGAAGGGGAATATTGCAGCCAGAGAAACAGGGGGAGCAGTGGCTGGGTGGGAGTCCTGATGGGGGGGAGGGGAAAGTCTGCAATTTAACCCCTTGTGGGCTGCATGAGGCCCACAGGCTACCAGTTGTACAGCCCTGCATTAGACACCTAACTTCCCATATAAGCTCCATTACAATTCAGGTTAGTTCTGGTGGGTGGGATGCCTGAGTTCCTGGAGGGGTCTGATCCTTAGGTGTGCTCTGACAACGCCTAGCTTATATAAGCAGCATCAAAATCAGTATAAAGTTAGAGCGGGCCTTCTGCTCACCTTTTGCCCAGTAGTTTGACTGTTAGAGCACTTGTCCAGAAAGTGGGAGATTTAGGGATGTGAAACCACATGTCTAAGCCAGGGGTCCTAGGATAGGAAGAGCTCTGGTCTGGAAGCAGAGATGTGGATCTCTCCCTGAGCAAAGTAACTGTTCGAGGCCCGAGTTCTGAGAGGAGTGTGCTAGGAGGGGTGAGAGGTAGGGCTGTGCGAAGCTGTAGTCATTGATTCGATTTGGAGGAGATTCGGCCCGATTTGGTGGCCAGATGTCCAAATCCAATTAGAATCAGAAGACTCATTAATCTCTCTGAATCGAATTGAAAGCCTCTGAATAGATTCAGAGAGATTTGATGATTCTGCCATAGACACAGCTTTATATGTTTTTTCTACAAACCTTGAGGTACCAGGCATGGCTTATGAACACTGAGATAGTGGGGCAGATGGAGCATACCATGGGAGCATGGAGGGGGTGGGAGGGGCCCTCCGCTTGCTCAGCAACAGACCCAAAAGTAGACCAGGAGTGCTTCCAGTCCACTTCCGGGTCCACTGCAGAGCACGCAGGGGATCCCTACTACCCACCTTGGCTCAGTGACTGGTGCCTCCTGGGTCTGGGGGGGCACCCATGGCCAATCACTGAGCCAGGAGGTGCAGGGGGGGTTCCCCTGTGCACTTGGGGGCGGACCCCCCCCACACACGCTCCATCTGCCCCACCATCTCAGCGTTCACAAGCCGCACCTGGTAGCTCATGGTACACAGAAAAGACAAAGCTGTGTCTATGGCTGAATCACTGATTCTCCAAATCGGAATCGAATCTTCAGATTCAGCCGAATCGAATCAGGGCAGCGATCCAAATCAGTAAATCAAATCACTTAAATCGGGCCAAATCCAAATTGAATACTGCCCGCTTTGCACACCCCTAATGAGAGGTTGACCTAAGCCTGCAAGCTGATATCCTTGGCATTCTTGAGTCTGCTGCAGCGTATCAGGTAGAGGAAAAGATAACGGAGCATCACTACAGCTAATTACTGCCACCTTGTGGGAACAACTTGAGAGAGCAGTCATCTTTACAATTAGGAGCAAAAATCTCAAAATTGAGACAAGGACAAGATTCCAGTCTGGGATTGGGAAGAATTTGTTGAGTGTTAAGGTCTCTGCAGTGTGTTCAAATAGGTCAGTATTTTTAGTAATCCAGTGCTGATTGAGACATAACATGGAACCACATCTGATAAGATTAATTAGAAATCTAAATAGAAAAGCTTTATTCTTGAGGTGAATTATATCTTCATAATTCAGGTTTGCTTTGATGAGTATCATCCCAGGGCCTGGACCACACTGATGGACTCTTTTACTCACTTAGAATTAATTGGCAGCAGTTGGCTTCTGTACAGTCATTGGGAACTCTATCTGCATGACACATTATTATGATCCAGTTACATTACAAGACTTGGCCCTTAACCAGAGCTTCCTGTTTTTGAGCCTATGAATCTAAAGCTGTGCTGTATTGTTGAACAATCCTGGCTTAATCATAAAAAGAGGGATGAAGATATGGCCCAATATTTCTTTTCATTTTTTTTTATTTTAATGACAAGCATCATTCTTTGTTTTGCAGGAATTCTATCATGAATGGATTAGTCTGGACACCAGGAAGGCTAACTTCATGAAGAAAATACATGCTTACACTCTAAAATTGGTGCAATCAAAAAATCCAGACTTCTTATCTCCAGGATTTGTGTCTTGTGATTCCTATGCTATGGCTGCTGCAATCGATGAGAGCTTTGTCACAGAAGCCATAGAAACTGCTGTAAGCGTGGAGCTGAATGGATCACTAACTAGAGGAATGATGGTACTGGACATGAAAGATCACCTTAAGAAAAAGAGCAAAGCTTTTGTCATGAATAAGTGTGATTTAGAGAAGTTCAAGGCTTTTCTTGTTGCTGCTTTAAAATAACTCCCAGACAGATCTTACTTAGGTAATCCACTTAGATTAGTACAGGCAATTTTAAATGTATGGTTATTGTTGAAAGTTACTAACTAAAATAATTTTGCCCTGATATGAAACTTCCAACAAAATGCAGTCAGGTAAATAGGAAGGGCCCCATTTAAACTACTGCAATGAGAAAATTCATAGCTCAAGGTACAAGAATTTTTTTTTTACTTTAAACTCGTTCTATTTGCTTGGACACCAAACTAGTTTAGCATGTAAATACTTAGACAATAATCAATAACCAGAAATGATTATAAAGAAGTATTGAGATCCAAAATCATAACTTCAAGTAACAAACCTGAATGTGTTCTAAAAATGGAGTGAATGAAAGTTTCTAAAATCAAACATCTATTTTGTGCCTTATCTGAAATACCTGAGTAACCTCAATCAGATCATGAAAAGTGCTCTTGTTTTTAGCTACTGAAGCAATGTGAACAGTACTGGTAAGGTAGATGCTCAATCCAATCAGCAACTGGTGAACTATATGACAAATTACAGATAAATTAGTTTATCACACACCTTTGCCTTCTTCATCTGTCATTTGGTAACTCGTACATATCCTTGGTACTTGTTTAATTTGACAAACCTGAATGGCTTCAAAGAGCTACTGTTAAAAAGCCCTAAGGGACTTAATAGGACTGTAGAATAGGGCCTTGTAACTAAGGTTTTATAGAGTTCACAAAGCAATAAACAGTTTTATAAAAGTACATTTTAGCTGTTTTAAGGTGCTTAGAAAATACTTTATGAAATATATGCACATGTATAATACAGAATTATATCATATTACAAGTTCCATTAGTTCTTGGTCTCGGTTGCTGCATAATCTTACAATTGTGAAAAACATGCTTGTGCTTAACTTGTACATCAGTAATACATAGAGTTGTATGAAAGTTTTATAGAAAAGTATTTTGAAGAAAGCTAAGGAATGAGAATCGGTATTGGACTTTCTTGCTTGTACTATTAATAACCAATTCCATAGTATTTAGACCCAGAAGTACATACTTGATTTGTGAATAAAGGGGAAGATGATACAGTCAATCAAAAATAGGGTGTTTTACAAAAACTATATTAAGATATTAACACTGAAGATGTTTGAAAACCCTTCATTTAAGCAGTGTGTCTGGTAGTCCTTTTGTCCTTGAGGAGGAATGCTGGGTAGCATGCTAGGATTCACTTTATTGACCTCAAATGGCAGTTTTTCAGCTTTATAACTGCTACTTTTGGCACTTACGATATGCATTGTTTGTGATCCTGTTCCTGAGCATGTGGAGTAGGCTATATTGTAGGCATACCACACTGGTATGCGGCTCCTTTCATGCATGTGCTGGGCGAGCACAAGTAACAAAACAAAACTAAACCTGCTGAAACCCCTTGACTAATTTTAGCCCTAATTGCTGAGTGATAACAGCACTGGCTTAGGAAGTGAGAACCAGGTACTACACCCACACCCTCCACTTCTAGAGGAGATTTGACCCTGCATCTGTCAGACTTCCTAGCACAGTTCTACACAACAGGCTACCAGTTAAGCATTATCTAGGCCCTTTTCCAGCCCTCCTCTTCTTTTTTTCCCCCAGGACTTATGCTTGAGTACATCCATGTGGAACCATGCAACTGCCAGCAGAGCTGTCCCGGTGGGGGGGGGGAACCGCCCTGGGTCCCACACTTTGGGGGGGGCCCACAGAGCCAGGTGGAGTGGCCATGGTGACTCTGCGCTGCCGGCTTTGCGTCCGGCCATTTGCTACCCCCACTCACCACCGGTGCCACCGCTGGTGGTGGCGGCAGCTTCTTTGCATCCAGGGTGCGTGGGATCGGGGCGGGGGCAGGGCCCTGCACAAGCTGATTTGCCCCGGGCCCCACACCCTGCTCAGGTCGGCTCTGACTGCCAGCCATGGTGCAGCCTACTGCATATGCTCAGTAGCTATGTGGGCAGCTCTGCATTTATACTGCACAGAAATAGGATGACAAACTGGGCATAAATGCTAAAAATGTGAGCATTCTGACCATGCTGTCTTGAACAAGCAATTTGTTGATCAACTAAAAATCTTTATTTTTCCCCCTCCTCAATTCCAGAAGCTGCATATTTGAGGTCTCATCTTATTTTTCTACTTAGCATTTTTCTCAATGCATAGAAAAGAAACTCAGCACAAGCTTCTGACAAAAGAATATAGACTTAGCAGAAAAAGAAATAGCAAGCCTCTGCAGGATACCAGCATACTATATCCTGATCATCTTAGTGATGAGCAATAATCGTTTTTGGTCATTTTGGCTCAGTCTTAGGTGTAGCAAAGCTGCATTTAGCATTGAACCAGAGACGGGGTGGTCAGGTCACTTTTGCATTGTGCTGGGTCTGAAAGTGGTTCATTACTGATGCAAATGTATTTTTGCTTTGTTTCCTTTTCTCTGGGAAAAGCATAGCATTGTATAGGAATACCTACTATATTGGGGCAAGTCTAAAAGGTACAGACTTACTTGGTTGCTGCCTGCACAGTATCAGCAAAAGAACTGAACTTAAGACCATATTCATTCAAATTAAAATGAAGGGTTTTTTTCCTCCATTCAACACGTGGATTGGATTTCAGTATTGGCTTAGGGCAGGCAGCTGCTGTGACTCTGGCCCCAACCTAGGTCCAGAACCAGAGTTGGAGCTACTGCTGCAGCTGTTGCCAGGGCTGAGGCTGCCACTGCTGCCTAGAGTGAGCAGCCATGGGCTCAGCAGCAGCTGGGTCTGAGGGTGATGCATGGAGGTCTGGGGCAATGGTGCATGCCTGAGGGTCAGGGTTAAACACTCCTTCCCCTGCTCAAACTTATTGCTGGCTGCAACTGTGGACTACAAATCCCAGAGGCACCTGGAAGTACAAAGAGGAATTGCTGAGCAACCCTGCAGAGTCCTGCTGCTGTAAGCCTAGACTGCAAAACCCAGAAACCTCAGGAGGAGGAGGAAGAGGAAGCAAATACATACAGCCCATGCTGGCTGTGTGCCAGAGAGCTGTGCTCTAGCACCCCCAGCTTCTGGCCTGAGCCACTGCAGGCATGTGGCTGCATTTCCTGAATCAAAGGTCTGTTCACTTATGTTTCAATTTAATCTGTGCATCTTAGACTAACCTGCAAAGACTGAATCAATTCAGCCATGAGCTTTTTGACTGTGTCTGTACTTAGCCACTCTGTACTTTGTGCCCTGAGCCAACGTCAGAGCCAGAGACACCACATAGGGTAAAAAGTAACAGGGAGGACAATGGGGTGGAGAGGGGAGGGAAGGGGCTGCCTGCCTTCTCACCATCTGCCCCCTGCCACTTCTTTCTCCTTCAAAATGCTGGGGTGGGGTAAGAATTAAAGATGACCCCCCTCCCCCCTCTCAATAATTACATTTTATACAGGGAACATTATAAATGTATTATAATGTTTCCTATATAGAATGTAACTGGGGGGAGGGGGTCATCTTAAATTCTTATAAATGTATTATAATGTTCCCTGTATAGAATATAATTTTGGGGGGGTTGTCATAATCTTGGATTCAGGTAAATATGACTTTTCTAAGCAATTTTGTTCTGCTTCAAAAAATTCCTGAGTCCACCAAAAGCACACTTACTTACCCATTGTATCTAAGATAAATAATACTTTACTTTTCAAGTACTTGATTGCATTTTCAAAGACTTGGAAATGTTGTACAGTCACTAATCCTGGTAGCTGGTGACATATTGAATGTTTTAACAAATCCTAAGAAGGCTGTTAAAAAATGTTTCTGAAATCAAAATAGATCTCACTTGAGCAGATGTGTGTTAAAAGTAGGAGTGTTTTTCTTAATTTGTCTCATGTCATTATAAAAAATGTATTAATTGGCATAATTTAATAAAATTATTTAGATATCAGGAAGTCTTGCATCTGTTCATGGAAAAAATGTGTAGCTTTATTTTTCTTGCATTTTAATTAAATTCATTGGATGTTAATTTTTAAGTTGGCAAAAACAAGAGGGATGAGATTTTTGAGGGAATGGTACTAACTGGCTCCTCTTCCCGAAGAAATGGAGAGAGCACCGAGCTACCTGATTGACAGTATTTCAACTTTAGCAAAACTAATATGTACAGTTGATGGATGTCATTTTTATGTCCTTTGTCAATCAAGGGAACAAGACATCTAAAATATGGTAAAAAGCGAGGGTGATAGCTAGAACAAAGTGAGAAAAGTTCCAGATATCTTCTGATATGATTTATTAACTTTATTTGCAGTCTTCTGGAGCAGTTCATTCTTCAAAGAATTATAGCGTGCTTGTGCCCAAAAGCTTGCAAAGAACATTTTCCCAACTACTCAGCTGGTCTAATGAAAGATATTGCATCTACCCAAAGAAGCTTGCCTGCCTATGTCCTCAGACCAACATGGCTATAACCAAATACCCTACCACAATAGAGTAAGTTGTGAATGTTGACCAGGCAAATTTTTCAGACAGAGTAAGAGAAAGTTCTTGCCCTTGCTGCATATTTAGAAAATAGCTGCCAGCAGTAGACGACAAGCTATACTTCCTGAACTCAGCATCGTGGAACATTTCTTGGCCATACTAGGCACTGCGCTGACAGATCCCACAGAAATCTATTCTTTGTAACATATTTATGAAGAACCCAATGCCAATATCTTTAGAAGTGGCAATAAACAAGTTAGTGGAATAAAAAAGTGGAATAAAAAAGTTAAGTATAAATGGTTTTTAAATAAACTTTTGGTGGCTGAGGGATCTAAAGGTACAGTAATATCAGCCTGGAAATGTCTGACTGGATCTTGGGTTGTGCAAAACAGCCCTGAGACCCCTAAGGTGGACCTGCCATAGATGGATCTGCACGTTCCACCAGAGCCCAGGTTATTGCCATAGCATCTTTGCACAGTGTTCCCGTAAGTGAGATTTGCAGTGCAGCCACATAGAGGTTTACCTGTGTAAACCTTTACCTTTACCACACCTTTACAAAGCATTACACCATTGTGGAAACGTCTAGAGCAGGTGTTATGATTGGCAGAAGAGTCCTACTATCACTGTTTGCCTCCAGAAATGTGAGCGCTGCTCTGGAATCGCCCACAAATGAGAACATTGAGAGAGAACTAAATTACTACCAGCAACTTAAATTCTTTGAGAAGTATTGTCCACATATACATTTGATTTCCATTAGTCTTTCCCTCTATTTCAGTCAACATAAATTCTGCATCAAGAGGAAACTGAGTAGCAGGAAGTGCACATTGCTATTTATTTTTTGGGGTTGTACACAAGGAGAAGCAGGGCCAGAGTATACTCAATGGATTTTGCTAAGGCAAAAACAGTCTTCTGTCAAAGCACAGGGAGTGGGATATACCCACAAGGGAGAACATGTATGTAGCTAGTACATCCCTGGTAAGTAACTTCCTGTGTGGACACTCTTATGTTCTACCATGAGCAGCTTTGTGTGGTGTAGCTTGGCCCACAAAGGGGATCATACAAAGACACTCTCAAAGAAGAATGAGTATTTGGGCAACTTCCTCATGTAGAAAAGTCATCTCTTTTGGAAAAAGCATGATCTTTCAGCCTGAATGTTTTCTGGTGTTTCTATTTGGGTGGGAGGGGAAAATATTGTTTCTAAATGGTTAAATTCCTTTTTCTGAAACTGGGGTTAGTCTCACTTCTCACTTGCTCATACTAGCATATACTGAAAGTTTTTTTTATATTAGTTGCGTGCGTATAATTATTTGAGTTTTGATTTAACAGGCTCTGGGACTCCTTTCATTTCCTTAATTCTGCATTCTTGCTTCATGATCATTAAGTGTGCACAGTCATTTCTCTAAAGCTGAGTACATTAGCTTGGGACTCTCTTCCCTTGTTTTCCTTCTTACTAATGGTTTGCCACACTGCTGAACTTCTTTCTGAGAGTGAGAGTTCATCCATTTTTTTTTCTTCATCGATGCCATGTCTGATCACTTGGGGCTACATCCAGGAAAGGATTTTAGGAGTCTGGTACTTGGAGTGGAATCCAGAAATCTCAGGAATTGAAAAATCCAACATGCTTAACCAATTGCTGCCTCAAGTAACCAATAGGAAATGCTGAGGACAGGATGTTTTAAAATATCACTCTTCTCAGGGGCTCACTCTCAGCTTCATGACAATGTCTCTGTCTGCTCTAAATCCTTTCCTGCGGGTAGGCACTGAGCTTTTCTTCCAGAGAACTGAGCAGGGTTCATGCTGTTCTTTTAAAAGGTGGCTGGAAAAGATGTTGCTGCTGCTATTGCAAATCTTTCAATAGCCTAGCAGGCTAGAGCACTTACACAGGTTTCCTGTTTTCTGGGATCTGTGGGTGGCAGCAAAGTGAGGGGTGTTACTACACAGAGCCCCCTGCCTCACTGTGCCAGGCCCAAAAAACCTCACTTCAGGAGTCTCCCACGGGGTGCCTACTGCTGGCTGTCCCGTTTCCTGGAGAACACCCACGAGCTTGGGGTAATGCTGCCACCACCTGGGCACTGGTTTTGGTTAGGGCGCTGTGCAGCCCAGGGCACACAGACCCTGCAAGCCTTGGCAGTGCTTTGCCCACTGGTAATATTTCTGGGTGCCTCTTTCAGCCCGAAGCCTCCCAAGATAACCTTTATTGATCAAGGGGAGAGAGAGGGGTAGAACAAGGAAGTCAGAATATACTTGGAGGAAACAATCAATCAGAGTCTTGCACCGACTTGGACGTAATAGTCCTTTTAAAACATGTCTGCCTAGACAGAATCCTAACTCCTGGCTAATTTCCCAGTTTTTACTTAAAGGAATTCATCCAGGCAAGAGCCTGGAGGCACTTTGCTTGTGGCTTTTCAAAATGCCTGCCGGAAAGAGAGAGTTCTCCCCTCCCGTTAGAAATGTATCTGGCCTGGTCACCTGAACCAAAAGAAAGCAGAGAGAGAGACTTTACACTGTATCTATGGGAATACAAAATTATATAATCTATTTGCCAGGAGAGCCCCCTAACCACTAAGCTATAGGTTAGGCTGAGTAGTTGCTGGGGTGGGGGGGGGGTAATTGGGAGGCACTCTCTGCCCCACTGTTGAATGTGTGCCACTTTACAGAAAAGAATTCAAGATTCATTGGGCCGGACAGAGGGAGTGAGTTTCTGTTGTCTGGGCAGTGGGCATCCTGCGTCCCAGTTCCCTCTCCCGGGCTGTTACAATGGTTAAAGTCATTGGATAGAATAAATAGTAGAATAGAGAATAGTAGGTTATAGCCATGTTCCCTCTGGTGTTCTTGGGTGATGTCGCTTTGAACTTCCTTGGGAGGTGACAATGTCACTATTTAAAGTGTTCAGTGTTGCTACCTAGGTTATGAGTATTTGGTTGGTTGCCTATTGATAAAAGAGGGAAGAGCCCAGTCCACAGCCTGACCTTTTATTGTTTGCACATTCAAATGAACACTTATCCCAGTACTTACCTAGCTACCCCAAAACAGCACGATGTAGATTCTCACCCATGTCAGATGAGGAGACTCAGCGTGGAGGAGGAAGATATCACATAGATGGGCAGCAAGTCTCCTTGGGTTTGCTGAGTTCTCCAGTGTTCCTTACAACCTATACGCCACTTTTACATTTAAACGTTATTTACGTTTCATTTATATTTTATTTAAGTTTCACTGAGGCTTTAGAAAGTGGGATAAATTAGGTTTTCTATTGTCTTGGAAAGTGTTAGTGAGATAGATTTTATGTACTTTTGAAAAATATAGTAGGGAGGAGTCGTTGTTTCCTTTCTCCACCATTTTGGACTGCTGCTGGCCACCATCCAGTTTTCTTTTTACCTTGGCTTATACTTTTTCTCTGACCTGGGTGCTTCTGTTTTTACAATTTATCTAAGAAACTTAACAAAAATATATGGATTATAACAAAACTGATGCAACCAAATGTATTATAATTACGACAAGTAATCT